CATGGCCGGGCTCCTTTATTTAAGGGGATCTTGGAGAATTTCAGGGCCCAGGAAGTCACTGGCAACCTGGAATGGATCACCTCAACTTCCAATTGGGTAAATGACAAGGATCTAGAAAGTCGGGATTACCACAGAGAAATACAGCCTGGAGATATGGGCTGTGACTAAAATTTCCAGTGTAGAGTTATTAGCATGGAACTCAGAGTAGAGACAGCCATAGGGGGGAAAAAAAATGGAAATCTGTGTGAATTGCAACATGTCCTACTCCCAGCAAATTGTGTGCACAGGGTTGCCTGACTCCTTGGAGGCCAATTGTTTGCTCATGTGTCCGACAGGATTGAAACCAGAGATTATTCTCAAACCTCAAATTTTAATTTTTGCTTTGTTGGGATTTGGACTAATTTATAACCTATTGCTCCCTTTTTTATTTCTTATTTCTCACTTTTAAAATAGAAATGCATATCTTCTCTTACAAGTCTATGTTTGAAACACTTAACTGGTTTGATTTCACAGGTTCACATTTGGGGGAAACTATCACAGCATGAATCATACCTCAAGCCTTACCTATATCTAATTAATATGATATGTAGATGAGACTTTGCACTTTGATTTTAAAATTGATGCTGGAGTAAGTTGAAATGTTCATAACTATAGGGATGCAATTAATATATTTTCTATGTGAGAAACACATAAATGTTGACAAGCCAGGGGCAATGTGCTACAGTATAAATATGTGTGCTCTATTTACATATTGAAATCTAAACCCATTATCAAAGTATGAAGAGGTAGAAGCTCATGAGTGGGATTTGTGCTCTTTTAAGTATCCCAGGGAAATAATTAGAAACCTTATAGACTTCTATCCTTTCTACCAGGTGATAGAGTATCAGTCATCATAGTGTGGAGACTAGGACATCATCAGACACTGAATTTAACAGTGCCTTGATTTTGAACTTGAGGGATCAAATTATAAGAAATTTCTGTTCTTTTTAAATTACTAGTCTAAGAAAATTTTTATAGGAGTAGGAACTGAAACAACTGGTACATAGTAGACTAAGAATCAATTTACTTTGTAAAGTCACATAAGAGAGAAGTTCTCTGGATTATTTCTAGCTGGTGCCAGGCAATACTTGAATAAAGTTGAAATATATTCTAGCAGCATATTTTCAAAGAACCTTTCAATACCAAAAGAAAGAGATCATTATTTACTTTCTATCCCTGTAAGACAGATGCAGTTTGGTGTCCTAAAGCTAGAAAACCAGAATCCAGTCAAAAACAAATTGCTTTTAGTAGGCAAGTAGACTTTAAGTATGTTTTTCAAATCTAGACAGGTTCCAAAGTAGGCAGAATTTTAAGCTACAGTTTAGCACTACTAAGACACTTACGACCATATAAATATTAAAAGTAGATTGAAAATTAACTTTTATCTGTATCATACAGGAGGTAACTTTAGAGTTTCTGGCCAGTGAGTTCTGTGAATGATCATCCTATGGCTTTCTCTGAACAAAACTTGAGGCTTGAATTCAAGCCGCATATTATTTAGTCTAATTTCATGGTCCATATTTTTGCTACCTTTCTTCTGTGGCTTACTGCAATTTGAGCATAGCTGAAAAAAGAAAATCACTGCTACTATATCCAGATGTATACTTTCTGTGAGATTAGAATGACCTCCTAGTTTGCCAACTTGGTCTCCTCATCCCAAAGGAGAATCAGTCCTCGTTTTAGAGTTCAGAAGGAATTTTATATACCATGAAAAATCACAGTACAGTAATCCAAAGTTTCCAAACTTTTCTGCTTTGGTTTGAGCCACTTTCCTGTGTTTGAGAATCACTGATCATTTTCAATTCAGTTTTTTTTTTTTCCTACTATGGTTCACTGAAGGAAATGGCCCTTGTACTTTGGATTAGATCACAATCTTCACACCAATCTTGCAAGTTTTATGCTATTGCTACCAACAAATGACAAAATTAAAGTACATATAGGGATAGGACCTGAAAGAGACAAGGTCAAGTGCAAGAACATTCTCCTAAAAAGTCAGGCATTCAGGTCAGTTTTAGGGGAAAGGAGAGTAGTACAGCAGGATGTGGTGACAATATCCATGGACCCTTTCAGCACTTCGTGGCATCAAAAATACTTAATTGTGCTCTGAAGCATTTTCAATCATATTTGCCCAATTAATGATAAGATTTACTAATTGAGTTCCTGCTAACTTTGTTTTTGTGGACACATCCAGTTAAAACCTTAATATCTTGGTGTCAGTTATTTTTCTTGTTGCTAAGACAAAATACCCAATACCTAGTTAAAGGAGGAAAGGTTTATTTAGCTCACACTTTAAAGGGATTTTAGTCCACAATCAGCTGGCTCTAAAGCAGGCTGTAATTGCAGAAAAGAATTACAAAGGAGAAACAGTTCATGGTGGGCAGCAGGTAGCAAAACAACAAGGGACTACCATAGCTCTTTCTATCCCTTATATCTTAGTCAGGCTACTTAGTGCAGGTAACACTCATAGCGTTTATTCTAGTGCCCTTGAACCATGAGTCAATCCCAGCACCATACTCAAAAAGCCCTATCTATGACTGTCTGAAGGTTTGGGATTATATCTAGTCACAATCCAAAATTCTTGGTTGCAGAGAGCAGCTAACTAACTGGATGCCAGAAACCAGAAAATGATTTTCTGGCCAATTTAACTTCTTGTGTGTTTTTCTTTTCTCTGCCAACCTTGTCTCCTCTTTCACTTATCCTTTCCCTATATCCTAGCCTCTTCTCAGAGGTTCTAATGACAAGCACTGGCTTCTTGGTACTCTATATCTCTTTGCTCCTTGTTTTCACCATTACCTAGAGATAACCTGCGCTGAACTTCTTTCTCGAAAGTTAAAAAATTCTCCAGATAAGCATGGCGGTATACTCTGTATTCAATTCTTTCTCGCTAAGCTGAAGGAAGAAAAGAAGGAAAGGAATAGATCTGTGACAATTTTATTTTGTTTAACAGAGTTCCACAATTCTATGTAGAGGAGAGAGAAGAAATGAAAGTAACACATAAGGTGTTTTCACAAAATACGGTAAATATTTAAATTTTTTTTATAGTAAAAGATACATGACCATTAATTCCACTCAAAATATTTCCTGTAGTTCCAAAGACACTTAGCTAATCATTTTTGCCTCTTTTTTGAAGCAGTTCTGGAATTCTCTATCTTTATGAAGATTAATAAAAAATGCTGATGTCACTTGCCATCCAACTGAAAGGCAGGCTCTGAAAATATTTTTGTGTGTCCTCTACCATCCTATTCATATGTGGTCCCATGAATCACCTGCCTCTTCTCCAAAGCCAATGACCACAAAAAGTAAATATTTTGAGTTGAATTAGAACATTGAGGCATCCACATCAATGCAACTGGACACAGAAGAGGACTTCCAGAACTCTTCAGAAAATGGGAGGAATGATGGAATAAAATGTGTTCTAATCAAGAGGAAGTATTTTTATAAGGATTACTGACAATGTCTTTTAGTGTAATATTTTTTTCAACTTTAACATTCACCATATTTCCTAGCCACATCTTTTAGTTACCACAGAGATATCATTGCCTTTAAACTATTTGGAGTTGGTTTTGCCACCTAACAGCCATCTCAGAAAGCCTCTCCTTCTGTAGTTGGCATCAGAATGACCTGGGGTCCAGTTATGCATGTCCCTGTGCTTTACTTGGCATGCTGCCTGTACCTGTATAAGCTAGAGGCAAGTGTCATGGTTCTATCGCTGCTTTAGAATGAGGCACCTGGGGAGTTGTTCAGGCTGTTGGGAGGTCACTGCTCTACCAATGTTCCCGATTGTCTTTTGGCGATACTGGGGTTGTAGAATGCTGCTGGCACTCACAGGTTTTGCATTGAGAGTAGCTCTTGGTGCAGCTCTGCTGAGGATGAAAGGGCATCTCCCACAGGAGTTTATTTCCTAAACATTTCCCTTAGCATGACGGAGAATATGGATTGTCCATCTCCTTTCTCAATCCAATATTCCCTACAAAATAGGTGATAAAATTCCTTCAGTTTTTGACAGAGAGAAATCCCAGTCTCTCGCACTGATATTTTACTTGAAGTTATCCTATGCCTGTCCTCTTGTTAAAGGAGATGTTGACTAGAAACATTAGTAAAATGGGCCTCATTTAACTGAATCAGGGTTTGGGGGTCCACTTAACTGGCCACATTTTGATTAAAAATTCAAGCAAATGTGCAATAAGCTTCTATTTCAGGTATTTGCTTATTACTATAACCTGATTAACCAATGTTGAAATTTATAATCTGAACAAATATGTTTTTTTCCACTTAATGACATCTGAGAATTTTCATCATTCTAGGATTATTAGAATACAGGAGTGAAATATTTCATGTGTAAACAATAACTTCAAAGATTATATCAATAATTTGGTTTTAGAGAAAATGAGTGATTTTAAAATTTATTAGTACATGTTTGCAGTATGATTACATTTATCAGGGGGAGTTTGTACATGTACACAATACATTTTTTAATCTACCCCTCTCTTTCCTCCTTGCTTGGTTCCCTTCACATTTTCAAAAGCTCTATTTGCATCATCACTTTTTCCCTTCAATTTTTTCCATCTCTTGTCCCTCCATCCCCCTCAACTCTTGCCCCATCATGCATTTGAAAAAGATCTTACTTCAAGAGAAAATGAGTCTTTAAAGTGTTTCTTTGATAGTGAATCATGTCTTTGCTCACTGAAAATCATTTAAAATAGGATATTTTTTAAGGAAAACTATACTTGTAGTTGTAGATTAGTTATTAGTAATATTTAAATGTACTGTGATTTTCTAAAGAGAAAAATACATTTTACCTTTCCTTAATACTATCTATATTGACTACTATTAGAAAATAATAGAAAGGACATAGAAATTGGTTTTGTGCAACTTCTTAAATAGATAGTATTGTTTAAAATAGCATTTTGCCTTTTGCACAAAATAAATTTTAACCAAATAAATTCATTCATACATTTTTATTAAAGTTTAATAAAGCTTTGATTGTGTTATAAAATAGAAAATGAGACAGCAATCTCCTATGCCCTTTATCCCAGATTCACAGTGATATTTAAAAATGTATAAATATACATTTATATGACAGATACAGAAAGCAGACTGTAATTCGAAAGTGAACTCATACAACTAGATCTACAGACATCACACCCTAAGTCTTACAGATAGCAGTGATAACAATACATATTTTTTTTTCCTTTTAGAGATCCTCACTCAACATGAACACTTCAGATTTTCTGAGGACACTTTCATGAATCCACTACCATACTCCTGATTTTTGTTGCTGGTTATCAGTACTTTCAAAAAACATGAAGTCCTGGATAAAAACAAAAGTACAGAAATGTGTTTTAACATTAAAACAGAGAACAATACTCAGATGCAGAGAGTAAAGAGGACAGATGATGCAGTTATACACACAGAATATATATAATATGTAAATCTGGGAAAAGTTTATATCGATGTAAGCTCTGCTTTGCCTTTTCATTTTAGTAACAAATTCTAAAATTCTATAATTGTATGAATTTAATTAATTACCTGGCAATTTCTCTATAACACTTTTTGATATACTTTGAAATCTTTCTCTTTCATTCTTTTTACCTCAAATTTTTGTGGTCCTACTCTAGTCATACAGCTTATTTAGTGACAGTGTTAGGTTATTTTTCAGGATAATGACAGCCAGAGAACTTTTTGGTTCAGGATCATACACTCTTTTACAAACCTGTATCAACTGTATCCTCGTGTTTCACTCATCACTATGCAATGAGACCCTTCCCTCTATGACATCAGGAAAATCCTATAAATTTTATTTCTTTCACAATTATTATGTTAACTAATCTCTTCCACAATAATAATTTATTGCTTTTTGCCAATCACTTGCATTATACTGTTCTAATTTTACCTTTCTCCAATACATTTCCCACATTCTCACCAGGATTTAGCTTACTAAAATTTGGATTTACACGTATTTTATTTTACCTAGTTTTAAATCAACAAATTAAATATTTTCCGAGTTACCATGTCTTCAAAAAAACATGTATAATATTTAAATGTTCTTTAAAATTTTTTGTTTTAATTGACACATAAAAGTTGTTTGCATTTATGCATTACCATGTGATGTTTTCATACATGCACACATTGTGCAATGCTTGAATCAGTTTAAACCTAGTACCTCAAATATTTATCATTTCCTTATGGTAAATTTGTGGGTAAATACATATAAACTTTTTTCTGGGTTTTTAGTAATGCACACTACGTTATCAGTCTGTACAGTTATTCTACTGTGCAATAGCACATTGGAACTCATTTTTCTCCTCTACTATTTATTTTATATAATTATATTTATTCATATATTTCTCCTCTGTATCTTTAAAGATTCTTTAAAGAAGACCACAACCATAGACTCTTTCTCTACTTTCACCTGCATTTTCCACCGATCTGTACATTACAAATGGCTTTCTTCCTTTAAGCATGCAGAATCTTTACCTACCATGACTTTGATTAAACAGTCTCTTAATATTTAGGGTTAAATTTACTCTTTAGGTAAAAATAATACTAACGGTCCAATTTTAACATATGATTCTGGATATATTTAATCTTATAGATAGCATTAAGCATATGTCAATTTAAATTAACAGCATAAAAATCCAATTTCTTTTCATGCAGCTTCAGTTATTATTAATGTAACCAACCTTTTTTTTCTCATTAAGTTTATTGGCACGTTTTAGGTATACAGTAGAGTTACATTCATAATTAGGATCATGTACTTTACATGAGAGGTCTTGGTTCTCATTTTTTGCCCATACTCCTGCCCTCCCTTCACCCCCTCCTCCCTTCCCCATTTACAAAAACTTTATTTCCATTTTTTCATTTTGTCAGATTTTTTCTTTTTCCTCATTTCCTTTCCCCTACCCTTTCCCACTTCTTCTACACTTTTAGCCTTTTTCTTCCTATTTCACATTGTCAATTATATGATTTGGATCTTATTTAAAATTATAGTTTTTCACACCACAGAAACTATTCAGTATTTACACATGTGTGACATTTATTTCACTTAAGAGTATGACCTCAATATGCATTCATTTTCCTATGAATGTCTCTAATTATCATTCTTTATGGCTGAGTAGTATTCCATTTTATAGAAAAAACACATCTAATGCAACCAACCTTACTTCCTCTATTACTCCTTCCACTAGATCCCACTGCCCTCATCCCTATTTACAAGTAAATCCCTAAAATAATCATATGATGAAACACTTTGAATGCGTCTCTAATAAATATAGATTCCCTTGTTTTTATATAATATGATCACTATACTTTTAATCATTCCTTTATATCAACAAACCAATATTGAGCCAGTATCAGGCAACATTCAAATTTCTCTGAATGTCTCATAAATATCTTTGTAAATACCTTTGTTTGACTAGTATATAAACATGATTTACAAACTTTGGTATCTCTTAAGACTTCCATTTCATTTTATCTGTGTCTTTTCACTGTCTTTGCCACTTAATGAAGGAACAGGGTGGGTCCTTATTTCCTGTGTACTCTTACTTTTTCTGACTATATATACAAATCAATATTTAACAAATTTCTCTAGTGTTTCACACCTTGGCTGAATGATGTAATCAATCTATGATTTCTGCACAGATAGAAGGTTGGGTCCCAAAAGTAGAGATTCTGATGTAATAGATTTGGGTGCAAAGCAGACAGGGAAAATATGAAAAGTTATACAGGTACTTCTATTGTGCAGCTAAGGTCAGAGACCACCGCTGTTCCTATTCTTCTCAAATCTTGCTGAATAATACCAGCTCAGGTGATACATAAATTTCCAATTGAGTTTCTGGCTTAGAGGATTTTATTTTTTCGAATCAGTGCATCTTAACTATAAAAACTTGTAGGTTTCATTTTGGTATATTTGTACACTTATAAAACATTCTTTGGCCATTTTCTGTTTCACTATCTCTTGTCCTTTTCTTCTTCCCTCTCCCATTTTCTTTCTTTTCTGCAAGTCCCCTTTCTGTTTTGTTATCTCTCTCCACCACCCATATCTCCCTACTCCTTCACGAGAGGAAATATGTGATATTTGACATTCTGAATCTGGCCTATCTCATGTAACATTATGGTCTCCAATATTTTTTCCATTTTTCTGCAAATTATGTGATTTTGTTCTTCTTTGGTACTTGGAGTTTTAAGAGTTTAGAATTACTGCTCTCCTTGACTATTTCCTATAAACTGGTAGACCCAAAGGCTTGATGGATGTATTATAGTATTAATCCTACATGATGATTTAATAATAAATCAGAACAAAATTTCCTTCTTTCACTGACATTTTTCCCACTTACACTCAGATTCAACATCTCACACAAAGCACTAATTCTGTGTTTTAAAATAAATGCTCCAAGACAAGCATGGTACATAAAATCTGTTTCTTGTGAAAATAACTATTATTCAGAAAGAAACTTGTCACCTGTGTATCTAGTGTCAGAGTCAAATGGAATTTCAGAATTAGTATTAAAATAGGAATGTGTCTAGAAAATCTACGAAGAAGGTCATTTTGCAGTGCACAATCTATTGAAACATGTCAGAACAGTAAGGTAGAAACAATATATAACCAAGAGAAGTATGAATGGACTTACAATGAGGAAACATGCACCAAGCATCACAGCTTTTATTTTCACATCCAGGTCTAAAGGAAACTGGATCCCGAAGTTGTCGGCATCTGTGAATGCCTCTCTTACAATCCCAGACCACTGTTTGGTAATCTTGCCAACCACAGTTTGTTCATCAAGAGATTTAATCTACATTGCAAAAATAATCACAAAGACTTGTAAAAAAACATACCACAAAGCTACTTTCATAGATGATGTGAAATAAACATCATATTCAGTTATGCACATATATATCTATGACCAATAATCCCCTCTGAAAAAGTATGTAGATAAATCCAAAACTGCTTCATTGTATACATAAGTGATAGAAATTACTTTTGCTGAAATATTTAACATTTTCTATTTTTCAGTGACAATACTACATTATTTGGATTCAGAACAAAATTTAAGAAGAGATATAAATTAATTTTCTACTTATAGAGCAATACAGATAGTTTGTACAGGTTACAGGTTTAAACACGATGGAAAGCACATTACACCCACTAAGGGAAGGGAAACAGGAAATGCTAACAGTCTGGAAAAGAATATTGTCAGATCTGAGTGAAGGAAGTAACCAAGAAGGAACTATTGAAAGCAACTATTTTTTAACTTCTCTGAATCTATGATAGGAATACCATTCTCAACATAAAACATAACTATACAAACCCTGATATAAAATATTTGTAGGTATGCACACATCTCTACATTACATATATTTTTATAAGAGTTCCCATTTCTGCCATTAGAATATGAGGTCTATAAGAAGAGGGTTCATGTTCATACAACTAGAACCAACAGAGAATTTGAAACCCATGTGAAAGGAAAACTGGCAAATAATCTAACAGAATGAAGCTGGACAGCTTGGCTGTGTCATGGCCATAAGGGGCATCCCTTCTCGGCTCTAGGATGCGCTTGTCCTGTGCAGTAGTGGACCTGGTTTGCCATATTTTCTGATTTTACAGGAGAAAACAAGACATAAAGATTAATTTGTAAAATTTCTCTATTTTTAAATATTTGTGACTAAAGAAACTGGGTTATATATCTAGGCTAGTGCTAATGAACTTTCAGAGAGGAGTGGCCCAACTGCAACCGAAAACCCACTTATTTATCACAACATGCCAACACTGCAATTAAACCTGAATACCAAGGTTTTCATTAAAAAAAAAAAAAAAATCAAACAAACAGGGCCGGGGATTTAGCTCAGCGGGTCGGTGGCCTGTCTTATCAAGCGCAAGGACATGAGTTCAATCCCTGGTACCAAAAAAAAAAACAAAAAAAAAACTAAAAACCAAAAAGCAAACAAACAAAAACTCACATTCTAACATTGTTAGTCTTAAAAGAAAAATAACACATGTGCCATAGGTTCTCCACTGGTTTTGGCATCTATTGTAATGAAATTATCCCACATAGCAAATACACAGTTCTATTATAGCTTCCAGTGACTTAATTTAATGTCAATTTTTATTTATTTATTTTTATTTTTTGGTACCTGGGATCAAACTTGGGTCCTTGTGCTTGTGAGGTGGGTGCCAGAATCATTGAGCTAAATCCCCAACCCTTTCAGTGACTTAATTTAACACAAGGATGCAACAGAGATGACAGAGAAGCATAACTGGACATTATGTGTTATATAACAGTCCCTCTACTCTGTGGGGAACTCAGGGGGATTTGAAGCCAAAGGCACTACTGATTTCTATGCTATGTTTCTCTATATCTATGCCTGTGATAAAATGTAATCTATAAATTAAGGACAGGAAGAAATTAGCAATAATTGCTAACCATTAAATACAAAAAATACAACAATGCCCTATAATAAAAGTTTCATGGATATGGAATCTCTTCCTTCTCTCAAAATATCTTATTTTACTGTATACATCCATTCTGGGATGATGTGAGATGACACACTGGTAGCCTGTGCAATGAGATGAAGAAAGGTAACTGATGTAGGCAAAGCTATATATAGGTTACTTGAACACTAGCAGTAACATACCAAGACAGTCCTTCTGGCAACTGACTACTACTCAGGATGCTACTGAATAACTTAATGCGCATTTTCCTGGTACCAGGGTTCAAATGCAGGACCTTGAGCTTGTGAGGCAGGCGTGATGCCACTCAGCTAGATCCCAGTCCCCACAGTGACAATACTGTGGAAAGAGGGACGACCCACATCCAGCTTGTGGGGAGCAGGATGTGGACAAGATTGCATCACATTACTCAGAACAGCATGCAAATTAAACTAAGAAATTATTTAGTAATGGAAAATTCCATTTAATATTTTCAAGAATATGAATATGGTTAATTAAAGCTATGAAAAGTGAAGTTGTGGGAAAGGAAGTACTTTTGCATTAGCCTTATTAAAACTATCTTTGGGTAATTTTCTCTTTTGGGAATTAAAGCAATCAGACCTTCTGAACATGTTCTAGACCACTACCTATAATGAAGATTAAGGAAGGATCCATGAGATGGGGCAATCAGATTTAAATGACAAGGCTAGCATTCTATGTTGCTTGTTTGTTTTAAAATTATTATTATTGTTAGATAGACACTTGTTTGTAGCCCAGGACAGTCTTGTTCTTGTGATGTTCCTGCTTCAATGTCCTCAGTGCTGATAATATGTAGTGCTACTAGAAGTCACGATGTTTAAGTTATGTATTTTTATCTGTGACTATGCATCATTTAGCATCATCAACACTGAACTTTAATCATATTAGTGAACACAGAATTGACTAAAGTTAAATACTTGAGCACATTATCTCTCTTTGAGATATCAATGCAAAATACTTAGTACATTTTAACATACTATAAAGTTATGTTTTTTGGACAATAAGAGAGCAAATCTGATAAACATTATGATATTTCTTACCTCAAAATCAATATCTGAACAACAACTGCACACAATACATGGACCAATTATTTTTAGCACATCCTCTCTCCTCTCATTCTGAACAGTAAACTTAGGCAGACAAGGGTGCCACTTCTGAGTAACGTAACCAATGGGAACACCAGGAGGAGCCTGGATTTCTATCTACAATAGCAAAAGAATATAACAAATTTAACAAAAATTACAATGTTTGTGTTCAACAAAAGAGTGAAACTTCTTCTGAATTTCCTTACAAATAGCCCTGGTAATTGCACACTGACCTCCTGAAGGCAACAGGGAAAACAACAGCTGCTACATCTTAGTGGTCTCTCCATAGTTACGACTTCTCGGCCCAAATTATCAAGAATCTTCAAATTAAAAGGCCTAGACGGTCCACAGCAATTTCGAGTACAGCAATCGTTATCTTCCACTGCAAAGTAAACCCTCTGTCCAAGGCTGTTCTTAATTTCATATTTATTATTAGTTTCAAAGCCTATTAACACTGAAAACATAAAAAGGGAATCCGTCATTATCATTTCGTTCCATTTTGTTAAGAATAGAGAATCCCTCCTAAGGCAATGTAACATCTAGATATACCAGCTTGGGATAGTACTCCAAAAAGCACAAGCAAAAGGAAAACAGAAAATCTGTTTTTGGAAGTGACAGAGATTGAGAAAAAAGTCCAAAGGAAATAAGGAGAGGAGAGGATATTCTGGTAAAAACAAGTTGTGTCTCAATTTCAAAGGGAAACTTTTTTTGCACAGGATTGGTACAGCAGTGTAGGTGGACAGAGTGGTGCCAAGTGTATGGATAAAATGTCCATTTTTCTTGTGCAGTTTTCATATGTTATAAAGGAGTCATGGGGTATATCAATATTGCATTAAATAAATTGCTTTGAGACATTTTAGAAATTACAGTCTTATTTTTGGCACCATGTTGGAGCAAAGGTCATAAGGGTTTACTCCCAATGCATACATGTGAAAAGAAGAGCATGAAATGGAAGAGCAACTGATTAGAGCACCATATTGTTCCCAGGGCACTCGTTTTTAGCTCATCACTAGTTGGAAGTGGGAGATGGGGAGAACAAACATTTGGCCATCATGATACTAAGGGTCTTCCATAGGGTCTTCCATAGGAATCAACACCTTGGAAAAGTATTCATCTTTCGAGGCAGAAAGGAGCAATTAATCTACTTATCTTATCTATAGCCTTCCGATACTCGGGTCATAGTATGTTTAAAAGAAATATATGGAGGCTCAAACTACTCACTAATATGTGTGTGGGGGAGGAATTTTAGTGTGGTATAATTATCTTCAGGAGTCTTATCAACATGAATTCCTTTCAGTGTCTTTGGTAGGATTTAGACAGATCCTCCACATAGATAGAGGATGACCCTTGACTTTAACATCTCTTACAGTCAAAGTTTGGTGAGAAAAAAAAAATTAAACTGGTGTTGAGAGTGTATTTATTATCCAACAAATTGTTTCATTAGGTAGCATAATCTCAGAAAATTTCGCCTTGTTTAATTTTAAAACATTATGGCTTGGGCTGGGGATTTAGCTCAGTGATCCAGCACCTGCCTCACAAGTGCAGGGACTTGAGTTTGATCCCCCAATAAATAAATAAATAAACAAACAAACAAACAAATAAATAAAGGAATATGGCTTTATGTAACCTGTTTCTGGTTACTTGAAAAGGTGAAACTGAAACAAAAGAGTCTCTTGTTTAAGTTTCCAGATCTATTAAGTTTTGAATTGAGAAAAATTTCAGTGCTTGCTACTGCACAGATAGTGTAAGAATTGAGTAATGTTCATCTTTCTTATAGTTTTCATGACATGAAAAAATAATATAGACTTTCAATTTGGGGAAAAAAGGACATTTAGGTCATCTTTTAAAATACTTCAAAATTAAATAGTATTAAATTAGAAAATTACTAGATATTTCATGATTTAGTTATATATTTCACAAATAGTTGTAATTCTATGTATCTATAAATATATCTCTATAAATGTACAAAGAGATGCATGATATGTTACATAATATATGGTATCTGGCTATTTGGATTTTATAAAATAAATAGCATATACCACAGAATAAACTATATTAAAAATGCAGAATGCAAATAATCGTGCAATGAGCTTTGTTCTAGAAAAATATTAGTTTAGAGACACTAAACAAAACCAACAACTTATATATATCCAACACTTTGCATTGCAAATAATTTAAATGTAATAAGTGACAATTGTATAATTTAATAAAATTCAATTTCTACACTTATACAATTCATGTTCTAATTTGTACCAGTAGAAAGGACTTTTGCAAACAGGCAAAGATGGATTCAACACAAATAGTGTACAAGGCAGCAGAGTTTTCACTTACATCAGAGTGAACACTTACATCAAAAAGGGAGACAATATGGTTCGTAAATCTACTGAGGTCTCAACTCCCTAGGAGCTTCCTGAACCATCCACTGGTTTCCTACATCTGTTTTTGCACCTGGTAAGCATAGACCCTAGGGAGACATCTGGTTGCATTAGGTGAGTGCTTTTGTAGGTAGGAAGCCTCCAGTCTGCTGGTCAGCATCCTGCAACACTACAGGGCCCATGCATCTGATACAGGGCTCATCTGAGGTCCCAGGGAAAAACTAGGCACAAACAATAATTTTTCAGAACATCCCTTTCAAATTAAGAAAGATCAATCTCACTGGACATTTACTAAAGGTGGCTAAACTTTTGCATGTCATTCTGTGCTACGTCCAAGGTGATGACAAATGACAAGTCCACAGCTGAAGTGGTGGGAATCAGGTACAGCGATAGAATAACCTGATTCACAGAGCAAGAGGAAAGCAAAAGTAAGTTTTTATTGTCTTCCTTCTAATCTAGTGTAAGGATCATGAAAATAGATGCTCAGTAAAGTAAGTATTTTAGCACTTGATTCCTAATTTTCAAAACTAAACTGCTCATAAGGTTTACATTTTTATTCTTGTGCAGACAGACATTTGTAAGTACTTGTTTAACTGTCCTGAATGAGTTACAGGTGCTATCTTTGTGGCAATTCATGCTTTTGTTTGCATAAACTTCTTCTCACTCTAGAAATATAAACAATACAGTGAATACATACCTTCCAGAAGTTCAATTTGCTGGTGAACCAGAATCTGATCTATCTATTACAAGAAAAAGAAAATTAAGCACTTATAATAGGTAAATATTTGTTGAAATTTTTTACTTAATGTGAGAAACTTTATGTCAAATAAAACTGACTTACACTGGAATTCCTAAAACAATGTTCTTGAAGAGGCTCAAGACATGCTTGTAACTTTTTGAATTCAAATTATAAGTATTTCTATCTTATACAAGTTTCAAATTTTAAGTGTAGTTGGCATCAGCAGTTGTTATAGGTGATAATTTCCTGTAAGAATTTTATGAGATCTTGATTTTGAAGATGTGTATTTCAGAGCATTTCTTGAAGAATATATTTCTAAGTAAAATTCTTCAGATCTACCCTGCTTGGATGCACAGTGGAAAAAATAAGTAAATAGACTGTGCAGGAGACACACCTGATTTACTGAATACTGGTTAGACATAATAAGGACTTTTATTTACAGAACTTCATACTTCTATTTTACTTATCTAATTTTCCACATCAAATAAATGTTAAAACTCATATACCAAAATTCATTATCCCATAGCAGAGCAAAATATTGGTTGTCTTTTTTTTCTTTCTCATATAGATGTGTTTATAAAACTGGATCTTTTCCAAGGGACAAAAACATCATACAGTTTTATTGGTTATAAAACGGTGAGTCGTATCATGCACAGCATATCAACCCTTTGTTTGGATCCCGTTATTGAAACTAAGTAATAAACTTTATTCAAAGTTCTTTTCCCTTTCCCAAGAAACTATCCAGTGTTGGAATACTGGGCTCAGTCCAGATTTAAAAAGCTCCTCTTACTGTCTTAGGTTTCCAGTCCTGACCAAGATAGATAACTTCTCCTGATCTCAGTTTCTTCTTTTGAAAAATGATTATTGCACAAACATGTCATTGATTTTTTTGGGGTAAAGATTAAGTGAGATAATACATGTATTATGCTCACAACAAACACTGGAAAGTAGGGTTTAATGGATATTTGCTCTTGGTTATTAACTGGTTTTAGTCATGATCACAGAAAACATAATTACTGCATATATTTGTATTTTGCTTAAAAAGTGAAACTGATCTAGAAGTATTAGAATAATCTGTTAGCAGAAAATATTGTCTTACCATTTCAGACCGTCTTAAATTATCTCTTTGTTTAAGTAAACTGAATGCCTGGTTGTGACTTTGTTAAATTTGTATGTATTTAAAATTACCTGACTTAAATATTCCAGTCCAGGTGGGCAGTTCAATGGCGGTTGTGGGGCTGGCATCCACGGTGTACCTGTGGGTCCCGCCAGCTGACCATATCCTGGCTGACTCTGCACAGGAAACCCAGGATGTCCAGGTCCTGGTGGGATTGGTGAGCCAGCTGGGGGACCTTGATAAGCATTATAAGACCCAAGATAGCCAGCCTGGGGTGCTAAATAGGTACCCTGGGGCCCAGAGTAGCCAGTTTGTCCTGTAGGTCCTGAAACAGGAACAAGTGAAATAACATAACTGCACAAAGTGTGAAACATCAACCCACCTAGAATTATCACAGCCAACCTCATACTGACCTTTTTTTATCTAGAAAACCTGTACCTGTGACATTTAATCTACCTTTTCATCTTTCAAATTTTAATGTAGCATCCACTCACATGCACTTCTATTTTGAGGTGATAGCTATGAACAGAGGTAGCAAACTCTTTTTTTTTTTTTCACAACTCAGACAGAAAATATGTTTTCATAAAGAAGAAAGTTAACTACTCTATTACCTGGAATCAGTAATATAAAGACTCAGCCATGACTTCAGTTAAAAAGAAGGGACATGGCATCGGGTAGAAGATAGGAAATAAAGGCTTTGAACCAGTATTTCAAGAACAAAAGCATCCCTTTCATGATAATTTGGAGATTATCCTATGTGTGTAGACCTGGAAGTAGTTTTTTTGCCTTCTCTCCCCAAGGGATATTTAGAAAGATCTGGAGATGTTTTTATTCATCATAACTGCAGAAATGGATGGTACTGGAATCTGGTGGGTAGAAGCCAGAGATACTGCTAAATAAATTTCCTAGAATGCCAAAAATAGTATCCTGAGAAGAAATAATTTTCAAGCCTTAATGTACTGCTCCTGTTGAGAAAACCTGACATAGAAGTAAAGACATGCCATTTCTTTTTGAACATTTTAAGTACTTATCTGGATTAATAATTTGCCTGGAACTTTTTTCTCTTCTTTCTTCTCTTTTCTTTTCATAGTACTGAGAATTGAACCTAGGAACACTCTATAACTGAGCTATACCTTCTTCACTTTTTTGTTTTTTGTACCAGGGAATGAACTCAGGACCTTGCACTTGCGAGGAAGGCAGTGGAACCACTGAGCTAAATTCCTGGCCTGTCAGCATTTTTACTTTTTATTTTGGGACAGGTTCTTGCTGTTTCCCAGGCTGACCTCGAACTTTAGATCTTTCTGCCTCAGTTTCCCAAGTGGCTGTTATTACACATATAAACCATTGCACCATGCTTGATTGGAGTTTTAATTCATGATGTGTTACTCTTCTACACTGTGAATCCATTATAAAACAAACTGATATTTAGGTTCTCAATTGAAACTTCACAGCTGGGTATGGTGGCGCACACCTGTTATCACAGCACTCTGGAGGCTGAGATAGGAGGATCACTGTGAGTTCAAGCCCAGCCTGGACTGCATAGCAAGTTTTTCTGTCTCAGAAAAACAAACAAGCAAAAAAAAGAAATTTAAATTTCACAACATAGCACCCTATACTCTCTGTAAGGTACGGCTGGAGGAACAAAGAAGGCAAAAGTTGAAAGAAGCTAACTAGTTGAGCAGAGTAAAGGATAAATTTAATAAATGTGTAGTGTATACTCTCTGTGAGTGTGTGATTACAATAACACGTTATAAGTGTACAGACTAGTAACTCCATACTACTGAAATATATTTAAAGAACTACATTAAAATATTTTGTCATTAAAACCATGAAAAACTTACATGTATAATAGGCTATTTAGAAATACTTGTAAAGGTAACATTTCTGGCAAAATTCATAACCACTGAAAAATAAGGCTAATAGCAGACTGCACTTTATAATAAGCCTTTTAAATATAGCTTTTACACTTTAGTCCTTGCACAGTGAATATTTATAGGTGATAAATATATCTGTGGCTCTTCTGTAGAATTAGGGGCTACAGCTTTCAGGGAAGACCCTGCTCTCGGTGGGCTTAGGATCAACTTCTGGGAAACAAAAAAAACCAACAGATTTTATACGGATACGATGAAGAAAATACAAGGAGGAGATGACAGGATGTGGGGCAGTCATTTTAGGTAGAGATAAATGAAACTTAATTCTAAAAGATGGCAAGGAAAATCCTTATGTTACATCCAGTGAGAAGTGCTGCAGGAAGAAGAGCAACTGTGAAAAGCCTGACTTTAGGAGTGAACTGGCATGTTAGGAACCAGGAATAGCACAAGAGACGAAGTACAGTAAATGGCTGTTAGCAAGCAAGGAAAACTGTATTTTACAATGAGAAACAGAGGCCATCCCAATTACCTAGCAGGAGAGACAACTTTGTGTTCATCTTTATTCGAGGGAGGTACATATCAGTGAGATTTATTAAGTAGAATTAGAGGCAAATGCTTTGAAGGAACCTAAGTTTTATGAAGGCATATTGCCCAAGGTAGCGACTGAGATGGGCAAAGGCAGAGGATCACAGTTAGATAAAACATGTCCTCCACGAAGCTCAGATGCTCATGGGAAGGTGACCAGACCCTGAAGGTCCGGACCACATCGATGAATTAAGCCATTCATGCATTTGCGGCTGAATGGATTCTTGAGAGTTGGGGTCTAGGTCTAGGAAATAGGTCATTGGAGATGTAACCTGACAGGATATGCCTTGTCCTCTGCCCCTGACTTTCTTTACTTCCTGGCCACCATGATATGTGTGACTTTCTGCCATGGTTCTGCTGCTGTGATGGTGTAGCCTCCCTCAGGACTGACGTCATGGAGCCAGTGACCCAAAGACGATATGGTGATCCAAAGTAAATCCTTCCTACTGTAAGTGGACCTTAGGTGTTCCATCAAAGGGACTGAACACTGACTAACATAGGAAAGGGAAGTGAGAAGAGATTTCCTGAGGTAACACCTTTCATCTAAGATCCAAAGGATTCACGAGAGTTAAATAGGCTAAGGGAAAAGAACATCTAAGAAGTTCTGGGTTGATGACAACCTGTGGTGTTTACAAATCTTTAAAATGGCCAGTTGAGATTAATGGTAGAGAGCCTGCCTTAAGAAGTACCACACAGCTGGGCCTGGTGGCGCACGCCTGCAAGCCCAGCACTAGGGAGGCTGAGGCAGGAGGATTGCTGTGAGTTGGAGACCAGCCTGGACTACATGGGGAGTTCCAGGTCAGTCTCTACATAGGGAGACCCTGTCTCAAAAAAACAAAACAAAACAAAACAAAAAAACAACAACAAGAAGTACCACACAACTATTAAGCACAGAATGGAGAAATGGAATCCTCATCCAAATTCTCTATGCCTCAGTTTTCCTTGATGAATAAGGGGTAATTAATAGTATAATGGTTCTCCACACCTATGGAGGATTGGTTCAAACCTGCATACATATCTTTCTGTATACATTTAATCATTTCTAGAGGATGTATACCTGATGCAATGTGCTATATAAATAGCTGAATGGTGCCAAGGAAATGATCCATATACACTCATTATAGATGCAATTTAATATTTGAATATTTTTTCATTATACAGTTGATTGATTACAAATACAGACAGACAAAGGATTGACAGTATTTACCCCCCAAAAATGGTCTGAGATCAAATGAGCTAATCTACATGAACTTTACATATAGAATAATACCTAATGGCACTGTAAACTCTCATTTTTCAGATATAATTGTTTTTTATCATTGTCATCTCAAGACTTGAAATATAGGCAGCCTTGGTCTTGAGAATTAAAACAAAGCTATTCTAATAAACTCTCAAGTGTGGTTATATCTGAATTTAATTATTTATACCTGGTTTTAGCTACCATGTGGTGGATTAAATCATTCTGTAAATGCCTTGGATAAGTATCTTAGTCTTGTTAATAATTCTTCAAACTTAAAACCTATAAAAATTTATGGCAGAGGTTCTTAATCCTGGCTTCACATTAGAAATGGCAAAGTTCACATTAGAATCACTTGAGATATTAAATATTATCAGTCGTTGGGTTCAGAGGTCTGTTTAATTTCCCTGGGATGGTGCTCTGGTACAAGTATTTCCCAGTGTCTCTGGATGATCTTAAGAGCAACCACGTTTGAAAACTACTGCCTTAGAGACCTAGTACTTATCTAGCTCAGGCCTTTTTATTTGCAAACATCTGAATAAGATTTAGGTCCACTTGGAGATTTTGAAAGACAATGAAGCAGGCTATTCAACCGCTGAGAAAATTTGTTTGCTCAGAGAACAGAATAAAATGGACACATGCAAACCAGATCACTTTTGATTCTAAGACCCCTGGATGTCTTGCAAGATGTGGGTATTCTGTATACTTGTAAATCTGCACACTCTAGGAACCTTGCCATTTCTAAAATAATATCGAGAACTGCATCTGTCTAAAGGATAATCTCTAAATTCTTTTATGAATTTGTTCAAAAGCAAATATACACTCCCTATTATGTAGTGATGTAACTCAATTATTTCTCTTAGAAATGCAAAGTATGAATCAACAAGTGAAATAAAGCTTTCATATTTGTTACAAAACAAAAATGTGAATTATTCCAAGGTAGCTACCATTTCTCTCCCTCCCTCCCTCCCTCCACCTCCCATCCCGCTCTCCCTCTCTGTGTTTTTTGAGACAGTGTCTGGCTATGTAGTTCAGATTGGCCTGGAACTCACGGCTGTACTACTGTCTTAGCCTCCTGAGTTCTGGGATCACAAGCTTGTGCCACCACACCCAGCATGGCTGACACTTCTTATGACTGCATTGCAGCTTCTAGTTTTAAGTAGTCTGATCATTGTTCATTTACACTAATTAAACCAAAAAAAAAAAAAAATCTCAAATCCTGCATGATTCAGAAACACACAGGGATGGATCTCCTAAATGTCATTACATAATCAGAATTTTCAGAGAAGAGAAACTATCAAAAACATATTTTAATGATTTTCTGTATTTTAGGCTTTATGTGCAGCCTTATATTTCATTTGCTAATGTAAATTTCCTATTGATTTTACTAGTTCTCCTTTACACTTTTTCCTGTATTTCTTAAATAAAAAATTACCTCTATGGAAAATACATACTCCAAAAGAAAACTAGGAATAGCTAGACTGCCAAAATTGCTTTAATGAAACAGTAAGAAGAGGAATTATCAAAATAAAGGCAATATCCCCTTCCTCTTCATTTCTTTCTCTCCCTTGGGAATATCAACTAATATTTTTTTGTTTTTAATCATATATTTTTACCTTGGAATGCTGCCGGTGGAAACTGTGGGTTATATGCAGACGGAAAGCTTGTTTTGGGGTGAGGAGGATCCATTTGGCTGTCTGTAAATAAGGAAAGGTTAAGTTTATGTCTGCTTAAATAAAATATACATTAGAATGAAAAATGTAAGTAATTTGCACTTGTGTGGTCTTGTGCTATATTGAAACAGGCAAAGTAAATTCATTCAACATAAGTTTTACCTATTATCGTAGCTAATTTGCAGTAGAATCCTGTTTCAAACAATCCCTGTTTCCCTTTTAGATAACATATTGCAGCCTCAGCAGTTACTGAGGCTGAATTTCTAATTTTTCAAATACGCTTATAAATGGTCAGTTACAGGATTTGATTTTGTGATATTCGAAATAAGATTGTGTCAAAAACACATATAGCTGGGCGAGGTGGTGCACACCTGCAATCCTAGCACTCAGCAGGCTGAGCCAGGAAGATCACCATGAGTTTAATGGGCTACATAGTGAGTTCAAGGCCAGCCTGACCAACATAGCAAGGCCCTGTCTCAACAAACAAACAAACAAGCAAATATACATATAGACCCTGGAGAAAGCAATAAATTAAGTTTAGATGTGGTACTGGCAACAGAAGGATTATGGACAATTTTAAGGGTATCTATAATGATTGCTATAAGCATTATTATTTTTTTGTACCAGGGATCAAACTCTGGACCTACCTTGTGCTTTTAACATTTAAAATAATACATGTGCTTCAGTATTTCAGTATTCATCTTTTAATCTGACATTTTCTGTATGTGTCTCTGGTATGAGCTTTCAAAGATGATTAAACCCATTTAATCATGAAAGCTTATCAGGAAGCCTAGATGCAGCCCCCACCCCGTCTACATCAATCAGTTTTACAGAAACATCACCAGAACGCAGGCCACACAAACTGTAAAAATTCAGGCAAAAAATAGTTCTTTTTTGCAAAATCAGATCTTTTCCTTGGACAGATACTACAACATAGACCAAATTATTATAAATCTCTGAAATTCCAAAGCATACACTGTCCAAACCATTCTGTTCTATTGCTCTGCTGCAGATGAGCAGCCTAGCTTGCTATCTGTCTAGATGTTAAGGTCTTGCCTGAAGCCAAATTCCCAGCCAGAGCTGCAAAAAATAGATTAGACTCAGAAAAAGAGATTCAAGGAAACACAGTCCAAGTGTGACTCAAAGCTCTACTTTTAAGTGTCATGTGAGCACTGGTAGCACAATCGAGGCTGGGAGGCTACTACTTCTCCATTCATCTGAATTTAGATCAATTTTCATTCCATCATTCTAAGAAAAGCAAGACTAAAATAACAAACCCAGGAAATCTCTGAAGTTTCAGGCCAGAGCACATGTGTGTTAGATCTTGTGGCCTTCATTAACCTTTTCCCCACTTGAACCTTGTTTAGGACTGCATCTCATGGATATAATTTCATGAGAGTGGATCCAGTGTGTGTTAAAGCCACCGAGCTGACACAGTACCCTGTCAAGTATTCTTCTCAATCTTATCCAGAGTCCCACTGAGAGGCACCAAGGAAGGGGTGCACATCTTTTAAAATCTGAAAGCCTGATTTATCTTTTTCCTGTCATTCTGACACCACTTTTCTATTCATGCCACATTCTTGTTTCTGTTGGCAAGTACCTGCCCTGAGCACATTTTCCTTCAATAAAAGTAGCTGATTTTTCTTTTACCATTGTGTGTATACTTTCATCTCTATGCTCATCATACACAAGGGCCTAGAATCTATCTTTTGGACCCATCAGGTTGTGTCATCATCATTTTCAGGCACATCTTGACAGGTGCCAACATTTCATTAATTTAAAACACACATATATGTCGGGACAAATAGATTCAAGAAATTGGCAGCTCATAATTTCTAGGTTTGTATCAGAGCATTTATCCCACTTTCAGGAATTATAGGGGAAATTCATACAAATAAGAAATAAGTGAACAAAGAACATGCTAAATTATTAGTCAATCTCTATAATTTAAAAATGCAAATTACAATAGCTTAGAAAAAGCACAGAACTATCACTAGTGTTAAAAATATGCAATTTTTATATACATGAATAACACTTTATATTTTATATTTATTTACATACACACATTTTGTTAATTATATATACATTATATAATTTATATCATTATATATATTAACTGAAAACTTAAGAGGTGAATATGAACATGACCACACAAATCCTACTAAATTGAGTTGAAGCGTCTGAAAGATTCTAACACATAAAACAGCTGATTTCTACATAAATTTACCATTGAAAGGCTTTAAGTTTTAAAAATAAAATCAAGTCAATGCAGCGCTCATTAAAGTCACAGAACACTGTGTAGAAAATAAGTGTGCTGGGGGCAGGGGATTTAGCTCAGTGGTTTCGCCCCCAGCCTTGCAAAGGCAAAGTCCCAAGTTAGATCCCCAGTACCACAAAAAAAGAAAACAGTGGGCTATACAAGCTTTAATATTGCATGATTTCTCTTATATGAGAAATCCAAAGTATAAATAATTTAAAGAGAAAACTGAAAGATGAGTAATAAAAACTGGGAAATAAATTTCTTGCAAATGTGCAGGGGACCAAAAGAGAGATGGAACTGGGAGTGAGAGGAGGGATAGGAGAGAGAAAAAAAATTCAGTGTTGCGATGTACAGGTACCATCTCCCAACAATGAATGTACATTATGTGCAGCAAACACACACTAATAAAAATTAAATTAAAAAAAGAAAAGAAGGGGTCTAGTCCTGGAAATTACCTACGATAGTGATCAAGACTGACATTTTAGTGAGAGATGAGTTGCTTTAGGGGTATTGCAACAAAGATATAAAGATTTATTCTGAAATACAGTATTTAGTATTTTGGTATTTTCTTGGACATTTTTCTCTTTGGAGCCTTAACTGCTTAATAAGGCAAAATCTTTTATTACATGTTTGATAAATACCCATTTCATTTGTAATTTTCAAGGAAAAAGTAAGAATAGTTTGATTGTTATATATTTCAGCCTACAGACACTGATGTTTGTTATGGAATATATGTTAGGGCATATGTGTAAAGAATTTATTTTAATGAATTGGCATGTTAAATAAATTATGTGTTGCCAGGGATTTAGCTCAGTGGTTCCACTGCCTGCCTGGCAAGCGCAAGGACCCGAGTTCAATCCCCGGTACCAAAAAAAAAAAAATTATGTGTTAATTAATGTGACTTGAGTAGCCTTCGTATATAAATTATGCACATTGAAAACATAAAAATGCACTGGCTGAAATATAGAACATACTGTATGATATTTTCCAGTAAGCATAATGCATAGCTTTCCCTACAGTTTTTATTATTAATTTAAAAGATCAGTGGCAATGGATATCGGTGTACATATTCTCTATACTCGAATTTGGCATTGGATTCCAGGGTTTAAACAACACAAAATAAACTTTAATTTCATTGAGTGAATATAATATTGCAGCAAATAACATATTTAACATTTGATGGAAGAAAACTAAATTTGTTTTTACTAGAATCCATTCTCAAGATTGTCATGGCTATGGCAACTTTGATGATCTAAGAGCACTTTTGCATTTGATTATTTCTACAGAAACATGAATAGCAACAAACATCCTATTCAGTACCTTCTGGATACTTTGATTCTATCTAAGTTTCAGTCACTACATTTTTCCTGCTAGAAATCTCAATCACCTTTGTGTCAATTATTCCAATTGATGCAGTATGCAAAAATTCTACTGCCCAACAGTTTTATGTTGGGTCCACAGACTAGACTGAATCAGCCCCACGCCAGTGTTGGGGGCACTTTTACTAACTCCTTCTACTGTGTAATCCTAAGTGCAAAGACACACATAACCAATTATGTCCATAGTTTCCAAAAAGAAACCAGTTCTTTCTTCGCAATTTCAAAATTATTACTTATCGTTGTCAGTTTTGCACATAAAGTTTCATACATTAGCTTGTAAAATGAAGGTTTTCACAATCTTACTAGATCTATCCCCAGGAATGTAAGACTCAGTTTGGAAATAATTGAGTACATTCCTGGTTGTATCAAATTAGTTAATAAGTTTAACATGATAACTTTTTTAAAAGTTCCAGAAAGACTTTATTTGGAAAACAGGAAATCACAGATAAGATGACCCTCCCAAAAAAACCACAGTGTCTGCAATATAGTCACACTATATATTGAAAATGGAAAATATGATCTCATTCTTTTATCTTTCTTCCTGTGTTACATAAGAACTTTGGAGAAAATGGAAACATCTTACACCATAAAAGTACATCTCTGTTATAGTTACTCTGCAAAAATCCTAAATTGCCAACATGGGCTATTTAATAATTACAAAATACTCTTATTAGGAGAAAATCAGTGTGGCAATTTCTAGCTATCTCTTCACAATTAATACTTTTTTTTTCCTCATTGAGTTTATTGGTACATTTTAGGTACACAGTACAGTTACATTTATCATTGGGATCCTGTACCTTTACATGACAGGTCTTGGTTCTCATTTTTCCCAGTCCCTGCCCCCCCTTCACCCCCTCCACCCCTCACCATTACAAACACTTTATTTCCATTTTTTCATTTTCTCATATTTTTTTCTTTTCCCTGATTACCTTTCCCCTACCCTTCCCACTTTCCCTACACCTTTAGCCCTTTTCTTCCTGTTTCACATTGTCAATTATCTCATTAGGATCTTATGTACTATTATAGTCACACGTGTAAATTCACAATTCATACTTTTTGATCCATCTCTCAACATAATGAAATTACACTTATTGCTTTTAAAAGGAATTTTTTGAAACCTACTACGCTATATGTAAAAGAAACATTACCTCTATCTGTGTTATTTATGAGAATTTGCTTATTAATTTCCTAAGAATGAATCTGTCCCCTCTGCATACTCATCCAAAACAAAAGATCAGTTCACACTCTTCACAAGCCCCCAAATGGAAATATATTTTCGGAACTATTTTAGCAACACACTATTGCCTTAGACACAATCTCCAGAATGCCAGGTCTCCAACTTCCTACCAATGAGTAAAATGAGACACTATGGAAGAGAAACAGAATTTTGAGTAAGTCGGGGGTTCTCCTCTGGGAACAATATGTGTTAAGTCACAAATCAAGCAATTTTCATGTATTTCCAGTTATGTTTTTAGGTAAATTGCGTACACTTAAGATTATTTATTCATTATCTAAAAGAAGAATATTTCATCTTTGATTGTGGCTTCTGTAACAATCAAGCCCAGCAAAACTATTTGCATTTACACAAATGCGTGCAGCAAAGACTGGGTGAGCATTTGAGCAGAACCGCGTACACACCTGTAACATGCGAGTCAGAAGGGCTCCAAGGCTGAATAGAAAGGCAATGTATCTTATATCAGGAAGTCTTCTATTATCACACACTTCTGTATTTTAGGCCCAAGAAAACAAAACAAATGTGTTTAGATCCAACTTGGGATGGGATAGTGAACCTTGAATAAAAGTAAAGATCAACATCAACTAGAATAAACTGAAACAGCATTAATCAAGTGTTCCCCCAAACTAATAATAAATCAAAAAACCCAAAGTAGGAAAACTGATCTTTGAAGTTAGTTGCTCTTTTTGGATTGATGTCCTATTCCAGAAAAGCTTTGATGAACAACCCAGTGCTCCTTCACAACTTTGAGCTGTTTTGTTTTCTGATTGTAAATGAGAAAAGTGCTGCATAGAGATAAAATGGCTATTTAATACTATAAAAGGTGACTGACTAGCTGATTCCTATGGTTTACTTTCATGTACCTATTTCACTGGAAAAAAGAAAATTAACAACTTTCAGAAAAATTTATTAGAGGCAATCTTTATGGTGTCTGCCTTATGTAAAACAGAAAAGTGTTGAATTCTAATTTATTCTTTACATAATTTTTACTAAGACAGGTAGGAATTTTCTAAGCATTTATTAAGACAAAACTTGGAAAATTAAAAGAACAACAGTTACTACAGATATCTCTTATTTCATGACCCACCTATTAAATGACTGGACTTAGGACCCATCACTTGGACTTACCACCAGTCTCTTTTTGGTACAGTTCTGCACATCTTGTTTTTAAAGCCTTATTTTTTTTTGTATCTGGTTTGTGCAGTACTGTGTTTATGTTCTGTTATACATTACAGTAATGTATGCAAGGAGCTATGCAAGTAAAAGTCATCAAGTTGGAGTGTCCTTGAACCATTTCTTTGTCCTGAATATTGCAAAGTGCATACTATGCACAATTCTTCATTTAGCAGCCAATTCATTGAACAACCTCCTTAGCAAATAGAACTCAGCCACTAAGTGAGAAATGGCTGTACTTAGCTACAGTGCTGGCTTTTAATTAGAGAACTGTTCAGTGCACATTTTTCTGTAAATATTTCATGTGTAGATACTCACTTAGTAGAACACATACAGCTTTTAAGGAGTGAAGATAGGGAACACATAAGGCTTTATATCACACACTGCAGCATTAAACTATACAAGGCACTCCAGGAGACAACAAGGAAAGATATTACTAAAAATATGCTTAAGCAGTATGAGTAAAAATAATTATACAGTATGAAGGGACTTTGTGAACACTGATTTAGACGGTAGGGGCAGTGGCATTGTCACTGATACGCATATCTGAATTGAAAAGTGTTTACTGTCAGCAAGACCACAGAGTTCTTGGTTGTTGTTCGTGTTGTGTGTTGTGGTGCCAGGGAAGTACAATGTAGGGGGAAACTCTCAGGTAGAAGTCCTGAGGCAGGAATACCTTGATTTGGTCAAAAAAATGAAAGATATGGAGCTGACAGAGCACAGGAAGGAGAGATCCTCAGAGATAAAGATAGAGAGACACATGGGAGACACTGCACACATCTTAGTGTCTCTCCACATCTAAACTAAGGTCCTTTACAGTGTCTCTTACAACCCACCCATTTTTACATGGTCCTTTTCTATGAAATCCGCTCAATTTGTCATTCAGTAAGTGTTTAACTTCCTTGGGATTTTTCTTTGTTGCAATCCTACAACTGTTTGAATACCAGGGGTGGCATGAAGAGAATGCTGTGCTCTTAGGGAATTTCAGAAAAGACAAATATATTTGCACCCTGGCCTGCCCAACCCTTCTCACTGGATAAGAGTCACCTGTGTGCAGCAAGTATCTCTGACCGCCAATCCGGGAGCAAAAACCAACTGTTTTTCCCAGGAACTGGGGAGAGGCCACACCCAGAGTACCAGGAACAACAGTAGATAAAACCACACAATAACCAAATCATGAGCTAGAAGCAGCAAGGAAGCCCTCAAATATTTGAAAGAATAAAATTTAACTTTCAATAAGTAATTTCTTTCTTGTCAGGTACTACTATAACAAATTAATACATTTTAACTTTTGTTATCTCTTGTAAAAATTATAATATAGGGTTATAAGACTTTCAAATAATCCAAATGATGTAAGGGAAATATTATAACTAACCTGCCAGCTATCTGAAATGCCAAGTTCATGTTCTCTAAAAAGTCAAAGAATGAAATCTAGGAACAATGGAGGTTAGGAGTAGGAACAAGTTATTGAGAAAGATAACTTCCGTCTAAGAGAGACAGAAGGGGGACCAGAAAGCGGTGGCCCAGCCACCCGGCTTCTCAAAAGTGTTACTTTCTTTTGAGCAAAGCCACGAGATGAGGCAGGTTCAAGGAGAGACAAAACTATGGTCAACCAGTAAGATTACAATTACAGCTGCCCAGGTACTATTGATTAAATGGGGATCAAAGGGGAAGGTAGTCCAATCGCAAGCATAAAAAGGAAATGGTCATGGTGTGGAGGGGAGGTATTGGCCCTCAATTAACGTGATCGGTATCTATGTAGAATATCAATTTGTCCCCAGGGGAAGTACATCTGTGTAGCTTGTTTGTTTTGTTTTTTGTTTTTCATGAAGCGGAAAAGAACTTCAGAGAAAGAGCTTCAGGCCATAATTGTCTTCTCTGCTGAGGGCCTGGCCTTGCCTAACTAACTATCTTATAAGATTTTCTAACTAGGTTAGCTGACTACAATAATTACACAATTGTGAGACAAGGCAAGCTGAAGAAACAAGTATAAAGACAGCAGGTCAGAGTCCAGGGAAGGGAAGACGTGGAGGCACAGTTCAAAGGCAGGCAGCCCGACTGTGGAGCGAATTAATCACTAGGCCACCTCCCGGCTCTGCCTTTCTGATACTTCTGGTATTCGAGAAAATCAGGCATGGTTTGCTTTCCAATCATACTTTCAATTACTATTTAACATTCGGAGACATCTAGCAGGCCCCATTAGTTGCTCCTCCTCATACTGTACTATGCTGGCAGAAACTAGAGAGCCCAGCTTCCGCCCATGATTTGGGGCCGCCCTTTGAGCAGAGAAGCAGCGTGGCTGAATGCAAGCAGGTCTGCTAGGTCTTTCCGGGCAGCACGGCTCGCTCCTTATCCATAAGAAGGGTTTCCAGACCGGCCAGGTGTCCCGTCCGGGGCAGGAAAGGTGCGGCGCTGCCTGCACACTGCACAGCGGGTTTCCCCACGTCTCCAGGACTCCTGTCCCCACTCTCCACCCCACGTCACCACCCCCAAAGCAAACACGACCCTCAGGCTCCCGCTCAGGAGCTTCCTTCTGGGGACCCACGCAGGCCCCTAGTTCTCTCCGGGAGAGGAGAGAACGCAGCTCGCTCACCTGCTGCCGCCGCGGAGCCTGCGCAGCCCCCGGGACTCCAGGACCGGGAATCCGCTCGCCGGGCCAAGGCTCCGCTCCCCGGATCCCCTGGGGGAGGCGCAGAGTTCCCGCTGCCCGCCCTCCAGCTAGCGGGGAAGGCGCCTCGGAGGGAGGGAGTGGCGCCAACACCCGCGGCTTAGATTTTTGTTTCCTGGATCCCGCGAGTGCAACGGAACTTCCTTCCCTGCCCCCGCGCTGGGGCCTGGGGCCTCTGTCGCCGTTCACCCGTGACCCGCTGCCCTGCCTGGCTTCCTGTCCTGTGGTTAGAGAAGGATTGAGGTGCGCGTCTCCACCTGGACCTGGGGAGTTACACACTGCGGAGCGTCCCTTTAAGGGAATTTGCTTAACTCTGGCCTTGACCTCCATCCTTCAGACTGGGGATTTAGATAATAAATGACTAAGGGTTAAGATAGTTTTCTTTACGATGGCTTTTATTCCTTGCTTTTTCCATCACAAGACGTTTTAAGTGTATTTTAGAAATTTAATGGACCACGTTTATTTAGAATGGCACAGAAGCATTCAGTAGATAAATACTGATTAATTTCATTTATTTTCCAAAAGTAACAGATGATCTGCCAAGCAATACATACATGTACTCTACAAAGAAGTGAAATCTACTCTTTTCACTTCCCGATTTTCTCCCCATGGCCTGTTCACCAAGGTAAAAAGATAGGTAAAAGTGTACTGAGACAGAGCCAGGCGTGGGTGGTGCAAGCCTGTAATCCCAGCACTTGGGAGGCTGAGGCAGGAGGATCTCTGTGAGGTAGAGACCATCCGGGGCTACTTAGTGAGTTCCAGGTCAGTCTCAACTACATAGTGAGACCCTGTCTCAAAAAAACAAAAAGTGTACTGAGACAGTTGAGGGGTGGGGATACAGATGAAAGGGTGTGGGAAAGGACCAAAGTGGACAGGGAAATGGAGTAAGTAAGTAATAAAGAGAGCAAAATCAGACCAGCTAGTTTGGAATCCTTTCCCTTTAATACACCATCTCTGACCTCTGAAAGTAACCAACGATCTCTGTAGATCCTTTTTTTTTAACGTTAAATGAAAGTGGTAATAGTATCCATTCATGCGGTTTTTATAAAGCTTAAGGAAATGAAGATGAATCACCCGTTTATTATGTGCTTGCCTAACCATGAACTTTTGCCTCAGGGTTTGACTTCCTCTGTATCATCTGGGTTAGAAAAAGCAGAAGACAGCAAAGCCAGTAGCTTTTGATTTCAATTGTCAAAATTGTTTTACAGCCTCCCCTTCCTGAATGAAGTTTGTGTTGTTGTTGTTGCTGTTGTTATTTTTAATGAAAGACTTTTCTCGTCATTTTCACATAGACGAAATCTCCCATCCCTTTCTTAGGGTGGTTCTGAGACAGGCAGCTAAATTGGGTAAAAATACTACAGGCTGTCAGACAGGGCTGGGTCCTACAGGGAGTCAGTGCAGAAGATGGGATCACAAGGACCTGTCGCTGGAGGTGCATCTAAAGGAGGTTAAAGTCACAAAGGCTAGATCTGCATACTTCCATAGGGTGTGACCACAAGCTTGAGATTATTTGTACCACCCTTTGGGGATTTCCATACAGATGGACCATTGTCTCATTAAGGGTGAGTCATCCTGTCCCACCTAAAACTAGGAAGGCTAAGACTACAGGTTATCCACCAAGGTTGACGACATCCATATAGTCTTGTTACTGTTGGATCGATGTTATCTAAGAAACTATACTTGTAATCTTATTGGTTGATTAGAGTCCTTTTGGTTGATTATAGTTGATTATAGTACTCACCTCTCGTGACTTTGCTCTATAAAGATACTTTGGAGAAATGGGCTTCTTTGCAACCCATTTGGGATCTCTCCTGTCCCTCAGGAGCTACTCTTATTCCCTATTCTTATTCTCCAATAAATTTTCCTACTCTTAACTTCTATTGTTCCTTAGAATTCATTATACGACTTGGAGGAACACAAACTAGACATATCTGACATCTCATGTTGGGAGTTACATCGTTTTCCCCTTATATTATCTCCCTATATTAGTTCTACAACCTGCCATGGAGGTAGTGACTGAAGGTGAGTGCATTGGCTTTGCCATGTTGATCTTCAACCATTCTACATTTTAATTTTAATTGTCATTTTATCACCTGTATTTGACATGACAAAATGCCCATTCTCCTGGAAGTTTCTGGAACATCCATTAAATCTCCTTAATGTGTTATTCTTCTTTGCACACTTCGAGTGTCTTGCAAAATCAGTTCACATCTTCCTCTTTCTTCCATTTTCTCAAATTTGTTGAAATCTTATTTGGTGCACAGTGCATTCTCATCTTTGCCTTATCTTTGAGACTTTTTACAGCTTTTATTTGTTGTTATCTGACTTGTTTTCACTTTAATCTTGTTACGTTCTGCAAAGAGTACTGTCTGTACTTAGAAAATATCTAGGTGTGGTACAAACCAGTGCTTGTCTACCACAAACTCAGGATCTGCTTTTATATAATAAAGTAGTAGCTCTCACATTTCAGCATGCACCACAAGCCATGAATGTCTTAGTTACTGTTCTCATTGCTGAGCTAAAACACCTGGCTCCTAAAGTAAAGGAGAAAAGCTTTATTTGGCTCACAGTTTGGAGAGGCTTCAATCCATAGTCAGCTGGCTCATCCTGGGGCAGGGCGGCAGGGCAGAGGGCCACTGCAGAGGAGAAAGCAGTAAGATGATAGCAGATTAACCCTCTTTCTGTCCTTTATGTTTTTTGCAGGGAAAGGCTATTTTTTATTAATTATTATTATTATTATTATTAGCATATTAATTATATACATTAAGGGAATTTATCATTATATTTCCATATGTGAGTATATCATACACTGATCAAGCCCATTCTCTCTACTTGTCTTTTTCTTTCTTCTTTTTTTCCCCAACCCCTATCTCAGTCCTTTTTTTTTAATCCTATTGAGTTTATTGGTACTTTTTAAGTATACAGTACATTTACATTCATCATTAGGATCTTGTACTCTTATATAGCAGATCTTGGTTTTCCTTTTTTCCCCATACCCCTGCCCTCCCTTCACCCCCTCCAACCTCCCCTATTTACAAAGATTTTATTTCCATTTTTTCCTTTTCTCATACTTTTTCTTGTGTAAATAAGATCCAAATTGTATAACATAATGTGAAATAGGAGGAAAAGGGCTAAAGGTGTAGGGGAAGTGGAAAGGATAGGAGAATGGAAATAAGGGACAAGAAAAAAATATGTCCTTTATATTTTTATGCAGTCTACCTGTCTGAGGGAGCTCATACCCTTCATCCTAGCCAGAACTATGCCAAACCAATCAGTGGACTGATTTAGAAATCACGCAGCCTTGATCCCAGCACCACACACTGTAGATCCAGCCAAGTCCCAACCTCCCTCCACCACGCCAGACTATGTGAGGCTTTGAGAGGACATCTAGAAAAAAGTCATAACACCTAGAAAATCAGTTAAAACTGAATTTCCGGAGCTCAGCTTTCTGCTTCAGTGTCTTCTGATACAACACACATGATATTTCCCTGCCTATATTGTATATGTTATCTATTATATATGCATGTCTATATGTGCTTCCTTCTCTTTTGTATAAGGCAGTGGTATGTGAAGTTAGGAAAGCTATCTTGAGATCACGAAACACATCTCGAGTATAGCAGCCTCTAAGTGTGGGAGAACCCAAGAACACAATGCAGAACTCTAGAACATGAGCCACCACACTGATCCTCACTGATGTTGGTGCTTGTACCTAGATGTCTCCCCCAAAGCTTCATGTGGTCAAGGTGGGGCTTTTAAGAAGTGGCTGAGTTTAGGATTTGTGATGCTGGGATTAGGTGTGTGATGCTAGAATAAGGAGGCCCCACCTTGGGTATGCACAGTAGCAATCAAAAGACACATAGCCTGAATGGAATAAAAGGAAGAGGCAAGTTTGCTGCTGTAGCTTCTCCTACCTTCCCTACTTTGCTATCTTCTGTCTACCAAGAATTTTTTCTCCTTTGCAATGCCCCTCTGCCATGCTACTACCTTGGAGCCAGCCAAGTAGGAACTGAAACCATGAGCTACAATAAACCTCGTTTAACTTTGGGCATGGGATATTTTGTCTCATCAATGAGAAAATTAACCAAGACAACCAAATTCCAGATATTTGTTACCTGAAGATTGTTTTGTTCTTATAAATTCTAAAGATATTTACATTGACCTTCACATGACATTGTACTCAGTGAATGCAAACTAAATTACTGCTGTCCTTTTCTGGGTGGTTGGGTTCGTTTCTTTTTAACTCATACTATGATAATAGCTATTTCCAATTCTCTCTTTTTGTTTAAGCTATTGAAGATTATTTGTAGTTAAAAGCTTTATACCTCTGAGGATATGCAATACGCTCCATCTTGGAATTTCCCTATGGCTTTTATCTCTCCTTTCTTGTCTAAGCTAACTGCTGTAACCAATAGTTCAGAGGTAGGCGGAGTACCAAGGGAAATGCAGATACAGATGCTTTGGAAGCAGCAGTAGAAGGATGATTTATTTCACTTCACATTATTGAAACAGAAATCTCAGGAGCTGTGGTTCACTTAACTTAGTGGAAAGTTTTGTATTTTGAAGTTGCCCTTTTTTTTTTGGTACTGGGGATCAAACTCAGGTTCTTGTGCTTACAAGGCAGGAAGTGGAACCATTGAGCTAAATCCCTGGCCCAAGTTTTGTATTTTGAAAAACTCCTTAGCAAAAGATTTTAAATTTCTGGGGATGGTGAAAATGATCATAGTATATTGCATGCATGTACACATATGCCAAAGTGAAATCTACTAACACTAATAATAACAACAACAATGACACCAATAGATCTTTTGGGAAATTCCTTCTGAAGATTAAAAACAAAACGAAAACCCCTCTTTCATAAAGTTGTGTAATCGTAACAAGTCATATAATCATAACTATAAAATCTTAATTTCTCTTATGTTGATAAAAATATTTCCAGAAATTTGTAATAAGGATCATTCTGAGACAGATTTTTAAAACCCAGGATTTTTATGTCCCACAGCAAAAAAGAACATAGGCATTTTTAAAGAAATAATGCATAAAACTGAGCCTTACCAAGATTTTCTAGAGATGGTATTAATCTAAAAAGAAGAGTTTA